CTCAAAAAAAGTCTAATTGCAAGCCTCAAACCAAAAACTCTCAAAAAAATCTTTGAAAAAAATCGTCCTAGAAAAAACAGTGTCCAAAGCCCCTTTTTTGTTCCCAGTGGCTATGGCCGTTTGGTGGCGATCGGTGAAGATGATGAGATCCAAGAGATGATCGACAAAGATGGTGATGAGATCAAAGTCGGGGGACTGGAAAATCATCCTAAAAAAAACAGTTCTACAAAACCCCTTTTTTGTTTTCCCTGTGGTTATGCCCGTCTGGTGACGATTGGTGAAGATGATGAGATCCGAGAGATGATCAGCAAAGATGGTAACGAGATCGAAGTCGAGGAACTGGAGAGAGGCTGACGGTTGGAGAAAAGAAGATCCTTATTTTTGTGTGGCTAAGAAGATTCTTATTTTTTGTGTGGCTACCCCGTCTGGCTTTGTTCGAATTTCCTCCACTGGTTTTTTTAAGGGTTGGCAAAAGCGGCTGCAAATCCCATCCTTGAAGAATTAATGGACTGTGGTCATTGGTCATGGGATATGTTTGGTGGGCTGCCGGAGTGATATCACCGACAAGATTTTTGTTGCAGAATCTTATAGTTACCGATGAGAGATTCATCGATCCCTAAAATCTCTACTCACTGCACTCAAAAAGCTACCGAAGCTAGGGGAGTGGGTATTCAGGATTAATACCAACAAAAAATATGTGTGTGTTGGATGAATTTACCAACGAAATGCTCGTTTGAGATTTAAATAATATAAATTAATTTTCATTTTACTGTTTTGAACCATACAGACATGTTCTTTGTCGGTAAGCATTCATTTAACCGACAAATTTTTCCACGTCGGTGATTTTTGGTTGGTGATATTAGGTTTTCTTGTAATGAATTTAAGTGAAAACAAAACCCAATTTGAAAATGTTAAAATCCTTAATATTTTATTATTGTTGATGAATCTTTTATTTTGATCTCTAAAAGTGTCTAAAAGAGGGTTGCCACTAACCTCCAAAACTCTCCTAATTCTAAATTTGCATGAGTATTTATAGGATTTTAAAAAATTTAATTGAAATAGAAGTGAAAGCCACACTAAAACAAGAAGTTAGACAAGGATTTTTTGAAAATCGCATTAGGGGTCAACACCTTCAAATAGGTGCTGACTCCTTCTGTTAAGCGCAGACTAAAATCAGAGTCTCGGGTTTTTAGCTTTCTAAGCAATTTCTGTTAATAGTAAATTGATAATTCTGATCCCTAACTTTTGAACTCCTTACAACTTAATCGTTAGTTTTCTGATCTCTGCAATTTGCTCGTAAGAATTATGATTTTATTCAATTAAATTCTTTTTTATACAAAAAATGAAAATTATATAAAATCAAATAAAATCTTATAAAACTAATCCAAATATCAATAATATCAAGGAAAAAATTTCACAATAATATCTATATAAATTCAATTCATCAAAGGGTAAAGTGCCATGTATTCAAAAAGTTGAAGGGTAAACAGTGAATTTTTGCCGATGAAGAACACAAAACTGGATCCTGACTGGGTAACATATAGAACTTTAACTAACATATACATCAAAGGAAAACAATTTGAGAAGGCAGCATCTACATTGAAGGATATGGAAAAGATGGCTTCTCGGAGAAACTGAACTGTCTACTCCTTCCTCATCAGTTTGTATGCCAACATGCTGCATAAGGATGGGGTTCAGCGAATCTGTAAAAAGACGAAATCTAGTTTCCACAAAATGAATGATGCTGAGTACACATGTATGATAGCTTCACTCGTCAAGCTTGAGGACCTTGGAGAAGCTGAGAATCTTTATAATGAGTGGGAATCTGTTAGTACAAATGGTGATGCCAGAATTTCAAACCTACTCTTGACGCATACATCAACAGAGACCAGATGGAAGTCGCCGAATGCTTTAACTAAAGAATTGTGCAAAAAGGTATTTCTCCTTGTTACATTACACTACTTGGAAACTCCTGACTTGGGGCTATTTGAAGAAGAAACAGATGGAAAAGGTATTAGCTTGTTTCAAGCAAGCTATTGGTGGTGTGAAAATATGGGATTCTATTGATCGTTTGGTTAAGGAAGTATACAAGAAAATAGAGGAGGGCAATATTGAAGGAGCAGAGAAGCTGTTAGTTATTCTCCGGAAGGCTGGTCATCTCACTACAGAGGTATATAATTCAGTTCTACGAACTTACACAAAAGCTGGTAAAATGCCACTTATAGTTGAAGAGCGGATGAATAAGGACAATGTACCCCTAAACGAAGAAACACACGAACTCATAAAAATTACTAGCAAAATGTGTGCGAGTGAAGTTTCAAGCATTGAGTAGAATCCATTTGCATCTAAATTATGGTACCAGAAGTGACTGTCTAGGACTCATTCTGATTGTTTCTATATTGAATTTACTGTGGTCCTAGTGAAATAGAAGATGAAAACTTTTTGTTTCCTGAAAGGAAATTTGTTGTTGATTGCGCCCTTCTTCTCATTTACCCGTTACCACATGGTATCTCTACATTACAGCATAGGAATGAAAAAATGGTAACTTGCTTTACGTTTCCTCCTCATAGTTGACCATTTATGATCATGTGTTTAGTTTGAGAAAATGATTTTTACATAATAACAGGGACTGTAGAGCAACATGATTTGCTCGAGTTTGAGTTTAAAATTGATCTCTAGTTCAATTTTGAGTGTGTTAAGTTTATCGAGCTCAATCATGCATGAGCTTGATAAATTATATATAGTTTATTTATTTATTAGGATTATTAAGCCTCATGCAAGCTTTTATTGAGTTAAAGATTGCGAGTTAGGACCTCAATTCTTAAACAAGTTGAACTTGGCTGCTTGAGTTTGAGTGCCCTTGGCTCAACTTATTTACGGCCATCAAGGACTTATTATCGAGAGGAAAAAGTCCATTATGCAACACAATTATATCTGATATAGTATAACATATTAAGCAAATTGTTTAGCATCCCTTGTGCTCTTACTATTTCATGAGAGATGAGAAAGACTTGAATAATTTCAATAAAAATCTTGTTGTAGGGAGCTCTGACTAACTTGACTATAGGAGGTACTTAATTAGTTTTGACCTGAAAGCAGAGGCAACCTCCATAACCTAAGTAGTTTGACCTATGAAGGCGCAGTTTAAGTAAGGTAGAAGACAAAAGTCCCAACTGTCATTTCCCCTTTGGTATCTGAACTAAACCAATATATGGAGTAAGCGTCTTCATCCAAAATACCATAATCGACCATCAGTAGTTCACCAACACCCCTCAATCAATTATAAAAACGTTACAAATGTAATCATCAGTGGGTACCACTTTCCTAAACCAAACATTGCAAGATTTTTGGGATTGGTTGGTGTGGGTTGTTAGGACCAGAAGTGCTATTTCTGTATCTAGCTCTGGCTCTGCATTTCCGCAATGGTCATAAGACATATCCGTTCAGTTCCTCTTTTAAATTGCAACCCAGATCCAAAGTCCACCAAAAAGAATTATAGAAAAATATACAGAATTTAAAGATAAAGATTAAAAGGATTATCAAAAATCAAAACTTCTTGACAGCTAAAATATTGCTCTTTTGTTTTAAAAGTAATAGTTGTTTTTTTAATTTTTTTAAAATTAAAGATTTAAAAATAATATTTGTATATTTATTTATAATATCCTAAAAATTAAAAAATAAAGAGAGACTTTTTATTATTGAATAATTATTTAAAATAAATAGTTAAAAATAATATTTGTATATATATTTATAATATCCTAAAAATTAAAAAATAAAGAGAGACTTTTTATTATTGGATAATTATTTAAAATAAATAGATAATGATATAATTAAAGTAAAAAATATTTATCTAT